ATCTTCTGACATTTGGGGAGCCGCTCCACGTGGATCGGGTCGTAGAGGCTCGAGTGAAGTGCAGTGGCATCTGCATGATTAACTGTGCTCCAGAAACTCTAAGAATTCGTCTCCGCAGCAGCTTGAGCTATACGGCAGTGAGATCAGAGATTGCAGAGTCGAAAAAAGGACATTAGAGGTCATGCAAAAAGCACTGCCCAGCTGATCATGAAAGTGCAGTGCCTGCGACGGCATGGATGCGCACCTAGAAAGCCACCCCATTACCCGATAAGAACAACAATGGATTCAAAAGCTCGAGAGGCAACTACCAAGAACAGCAGACCATGTAATGGGGAAGGAAAGTCTGGCCAAATCAGCCGTCCCCGGATGCGCAGAGAATTTGTATCGCCTAGCTGCACCGGATGCGCAGAGAATTTGTATCGCCTAGCTGCAATCGATAGGTGTTAACACCCTAGATAAGGCACCACGAGCACTGCAATCGATAGGTGTTAACACCCTAGATAAGGCACCACGAGCAGCCACCTGTACCACTCGTAGAGTATCATAGGAACACCATTGTAATGTGATCATTTCATAATTCTGATTTCCAGGACACAGATAGTCTAGAAAAACACACCGACGAAGAGAACTGCAATCGATAGGCGTCAACCCTTCAGATAAGGCACCACGACTGCAATCGATAGGCGTCAACCCTTCAGATAAGGCACCACGAGCAGCCACATGTACCACTCGTAGAGTATCATAGGAACATCATTCTCATGTGATCATTTCATAGTTCTGATTTCCAGGACACAGATAGTCTAGAAAAACAGACCGACGAAGAGAATGACTCCAAACATTACTCGCGAACATAGAGACAATTTCAATGTTTGGATCACGGAACTTTGACCTGGCAGAGTTTTTAGATTCGAAACGATAACCGATCTTTCTTTATCAAAACCTTTGCTACACTGACGTCTCCGTTGTTGTGAACATCTATGCGAGATCGGATCATTATCTCCTCTGCGCTATATTCTGTTATTTTGATGTGTGGAGAGAAAACTGCTTAGTTCATAGAAGTATTCCCAGATCATTTCGCTCTCTTACGAGTTCCAGGTAAGAAATCGTAATCGTTAACATTGATGAGGAGTATAACCAGCTCGTCGAACATCTTCACAATAGTGGTAAAAAAGCGGAGAGTCTACATTCTCCGGAAGAAGTCTTTCTTCGAGGTATATCGAAATGATACCCCAGCCTGAAATCGTGCGAGCTACAAGCAGTCATCAATAAACGACAAAAGCTGCGAAGCTATGCGTAAAAGTTGTAAAGGAACATTTGATAGAGAGAAGAGCGCCAGTTATGAAAGAAGCCGCCGAAGCCTAAATGGCATTCGCAAAGCCCGACGGAGCTTCGCCAGTTACATCAAAGTAAATGCCCTTCGTCTTCATGGGGGAACACCTACTGCATCTCGAAGAACAGTGGAGAAGGTCAACTACGAATTCTTAACGAATCACTCTGGCAGCCACTTCCGCTGCGTACCGTCCGTTTTAGGCAAGATAGATATATTCAATTTTCATTCCAAAAATTGACATGCCATCAAGTCGATGAAGAGTTTCATGGCACTCTTCCTCTGTAGGATTAAGCCTGAACATCTGAAGAGTCTTCCACAAGTTGTCTGTGGCTAGACTCCTCACACCACTCGACATTGAAAGTGTTTACGTCGTGTAAACTAGCGAGGTTTGCTACTGTATAAGGAAGGAGATCCAGGCGATATTGACAAATATTGTCCCGTCTTCCTGCTTTCTGTAATCCTAGACTTTTGCACGAGCTACTTTCGTCCTCGACTGGATTGGCAAAATGTGAGGCAGCCATGCGGCGAGCAGGGTTTTGAGAGCGTTCAGCCCAATCGATCACATTCAAACTATCAAAAGCTCACTCAAATATTGCGAGAGTACAGGATGGTAGAACGTCTTACAATCATGGTAATGAAGATTGATATCGTCTTGAAGGAACGGTTGAAGCCTTTATCGAACAGAGTAGCAACCAGTTTATATGTAAGGAAACCTCGTGGAATTTACAACAGCTTCACGGCCAGGACGTCGCTAATCTACTAGGAAGTCATAGGCACGGTGAAGAAAGGGGTTTGGCGGAGCAATACCATTCAAGTTTTTTAGTGCCTCTCTCAAGATGGTCGTGCGTCATTTGGAACCTGATGAAGAACGATAACGATAGTCTCGAGTAAGGGATTGGTAAGCGATGCTGCGCTCATACTGAACATTCCGATTGTATCTGAATGACATGTCATGTGAATTCAGGTCAAGAGGTCAGCTTCACGAACGGCTCAGCACAGCAGCTAAGCAGAAAGAAGAAGGAAAACATTTGGCTCCATGCGCACCTATTACCACCCTCGATCCTTAGTGTTTTGACGGCCTGGAGGCTCGTACTTTGTGAAGGCAAGACGAGCACGCAAGCAGCGCTCAACACACTTTTGAGAGGACGAAGACGTGTGAGAGAGTGCAGAGGGGAATAAGGGATTTGGAGCTCCGAAAACTGACGGATCTCGCGGCACGTCAAACGGTCACTAGGATGACCGCCAGCCGCGATAACCGCAATATGACATTTGAGCTCTGGATGTGAATAATGATTTGCCTCAGTGTCGTTCGAGCGAGGACGAACTGCTAGACTTTTGATGGCTGGTGATAGTGACGACTTAAGGCGACTTCCATTCCGAAAAGAATCGATGATCAACGAGACAGTAGATGATACAGGTGATACTGTATTATAGGGAAGAACTAGTCTGAGTGTATAGGAAGCGAACTTCAGTCTCCTTAGCAGGGTTTACATCTGAACGTACAGAACGGAATCAGCCGCAAACAAACTTCTCATTCCGACTGATAGGGTTGATCGATTCACTTTCCGTATATTCTCTTTCCATAACCACCACACCTCCCTTCTCTTCCTCTATTCAACTGCACCCCGCTTTGGCTGAAGCAACCACATCATATTCTTCTAACGTGAAGGCCCTTTCGCAATAGTCATGTCAAAGCGAAAAACTCAAATCATGGCAACAGAAGAAAACTAATCATGCCACCGAATATGAAAGAACACAATAACATTCATTATTCCCGAGCATATATATAAAAGCTCCACAAGGGCACTTCGATCATCTGCTGTTCAAGAGCTCTTTATCAGGATCATGGTTTAATTCTCACGTCATCTTTGCGTAAACTAACTCATTCCTTCGTGACCTCAGAAGCAGCCGTCATGCTCTCCTCTGGGTGTTTATCAAGGGAGTTCCTCGAAAGAGTATCCTACTAACACTTGAGCAAATGAAAACAGCCTCAACCAAGACCTTGTAGAACCCTCTTGATAGCCTACATCAAGAACACGAAACTCGTGTTAGGACTCCTGCGATCGCGATTGATTCTAAGCCTAATCACTGGTTCTCTACCTTTGGGAACAGTCGAACATTGGCGATTCTTTATTTATTCACTTGAACAGCTTTCAAGATCACTGCAGGTCAAGTTGATACTCCATGAGAAGTAAAGGATTTTCACCAGCGAGAAACGAATGTTTTTTTTGTGATGCGATAGCTCTCAAACAGCTGCACTCCTTTCCAAAGGTATTATATGTGGGTCGGATCAATCGTTCACCTTGGGTAAACATACAAAAAATTAAAAGTGAGCTGCGGGTCCCTGCCGATTTGCAAATTTCCGTAAAAATTTCATAATGGATCCTGGTCCCTTTCCGAGACAACATTATTAAGCTCTTCGTGATAATGGATCATTTTTGTCTAAACATTTGTTTTTTTCAGAAGATTATGAAAGAACGACTCGTGTTTATACTCCTTGCAATATCCCTTAACATCAGAGCTTTTTCGCGGTGAGTACTGCACTTAATAATTCTGCATTGTAGCGTGCGAAGCTCTTCGATTTAGTGTACCATTGCTGAAATGGACTGACACGGGGACCCCTATTGATGGAAGGGCAGTTGCTGAATTTCTGAAGAGTAAGTACATTAAAGGCAACGTGCTCACCTCGGACAATGCGACAGGTTTCGATGAACCACTCTTCTACGCACCATTGAGTGTAAGAATTTGCTCTATGCCACACAACTTCAAAAATGATTAAAGAGTTCAGTATTAAGGCAGCCTACTATGGCAATATCTATATTGGAACACCTCCGCAGCAGTTTCTGGTGCATTTCGATACTACTTTCGCTAATCTCTGGGTTCCATGCAACGGCTGCTATTATTACAAAGATTTTTGCAAAAAGCATCGTAAGGTAATATATGTTATAAGTGTCAAAAGTTACCTGTTCAGTGTCTTTCATTTATGGTCAATATTCGGGCTTTGCTTCCAGTTCGAGTGGTATCTTTCGGAAACTTGCAAAATAACGGGGGAACCTTTCGGTTTCCAGTCGGGAAGCGGCGCTGTTGTGGGTGACCTCGACAATGACATTGTCTGTGTGAGTCCTAGCTTCCCACCTTATCAAGCGCGGAATAATTATATTTCTCTAGTTTGGATGTGGTTGCGGAAGGTACTGCACCAACAGAACTCAAGGATTTGGTTGCGCCCTGGAAGTAACCGGCAGTTATGCAGTAAGTGAGATATGCCATAGAGCCGGAACAACTAAAAGAGTGTTTGGTAACACAGAACAGCGTATTCGACGGTGTTTTTGGCATGGCATGGAAGCCATTACCGGCGTTCGGTACTTCACCACCTCTAGAGCAAATCTTTGCCAACAAGGTAGTTTGAATTTTTTTGGACTTGTCTCGCACCAAAAAGGAAAGAAGACCGACCTAGAACAAAAAAATGTTGGATTTGAAAATTCAAATGGCTGGGAAAGCCGTCAAACACTACTTTTATGGCACAAGGTGATTCCGTTAAGGGATCGGCCCCTCTCTAAAAGACTTTCTCTTTTCGGAGCTGGATAACTGATGTCTTGATGATTTTCTATCACACTACAATTCATTCAATTCCCGCAGGAGAAAAAAGAAAACAAAATGGTTTGGAGAAGGAGAATAAGCGAGTGCCCATAAAGGACTAGTCAATACGAATTCCTTTTTGACGTTCAAATGATCACCACTCCTTAGAGCCATACTTAGAAAAGCAGTTACTCGAGTCGGGTTGTTTACTCACCTCTTTTGTGCGTTACAATATTAGCAAAGTATGTTAGGACCATTCGCGGTCACTTCTTATGATGTCGGCGACACGGTAAAGTGAGCAGGCTGGAACTCTTTGACATACTGTATATATGAAAGCAAATAGCGATACACAGCTACACTCAGAAATCTAACACCTGAGGTTTCATGCTAAAATCCACTTGCAGTTTAGATGAAGTGTGGGACCAGTCATTGAAAGATTTTCTTCTTCCAGTTTATCAAAGTTCACATATTTTTTTTCAATTGTAGACACTGTGCCCTGAAGCTCTTTTCGCTTTTTACATGGCTTCTAACAATAGCGGATCAGGTGTTGTTGGAGAATTGACCATATGTGGAACAGATCCTGCACATTATAAAGTACTGCTTACACTTTCAACATTAAGTCCGAAATGAAATCGAAATATGTATACTCATAGGGAAGCATAGAATGGGTGCCACTAGTTGCCGAGACATATTGGACAATCAGTGTGGGATCGGTGTATGTCAGAGGTGCGACGATAACAAATGGAACACAGAACGCTATTGTTGACACAAGCACATCATTCATTATCGGACCTACTGATGCTGTACAGAAGGTTACCTTTAGTGGTGCAAAACTGTGCTCTTGCCTACACTTACTCTCTCATTTCCAGCTTCAAAATATGTTTTCCTTATCGGGAGCCACAAAGGCTGCAGAAGGCATTTACCAAATCGAATGCAGTAATATCTCAAAACTGCCAGCAGTCATATTCACTCTTGGAGGTCATGACTTCACTCTTCGAGGTTCCGATTATGTCATCCAGGTACTGTAGATATGTCGCGTTGAGAATTACACAAGGTCGTAGATCGGTAGAGATGGACTGTTTCGAATGAATGAGAAAGCATTGTTACTGCGCTAATTTTTATTTCAGAATAACAAAAGCTGTCTACTTGGATTCTTGGGAGTCGATGTTCATCTTTCGACTGGTACGCCCTTCTGTTGAATCTTTTAAAAGACTTCTATATAACTTGTTTTCAGCCCCTACTTGGCTTCTTGGCGACGTCTTCCTCCGTAATTTCTACACCGTTTTCGATCACGGAAACAAGCGTGTTGGATTCGCTAAGCCCTCTAAGAAATGCCTCACCCCCAAATGAAACCAACAAAGAAATTCAATAAATCGATTGCGCAAAAACGAGTTTTTCCAAAAACATCTGAAAAGTCCCAAAAAACTTTACGGCAGATGGATCTAATTCGGAAACTGAGCAAGTGTTTGGTTGGAAACGGTAACAACTCATCCTTCGCAGACCTTTGCCTTTACTGTGTTTACATCCAAAAAAAACATGAACTAATCACCGCTGCCTATGTTCCCTATGATATAATTTTTGTTTTCCCACGGTGTTATGTTGCGTCTGAGCAGTTTTGAGCAAACATCCAAACCTCGCATGACTTCGCGACTGATGTTCCCTTGAGGAACAGCAAGTGTTCTGCACAGGAGTAGAGAATGTAAAGGCTCAGTCACAGCCAGAATTGCATCAAATGTCTGAAGAACTGCAGTACCTCTCTGTTCAACTTCCCTTGAGATTAGCTGTATAGTCTTTTGTTAGCTAAAATTGCCCCGCACTGAAATATCTTTTTCGCCAGTCTATGAGATATCTATGGGAACAAGCCTTAAATAGATTACTTCCCGAGTGGCGAGAAAGATTTTCCCTTATTCCTGCTTTTTTCAGTATAGTCTGATAACTGTAGCTGTTAAATTGAAAAGAAATAGCATTATGGCTGTCAAGCACTATTGCGATGCCTCCAATGGCAAGGTAAGAAGCTGTAGTAAGATTCGAATAGTTCCAAAAAAAGAAAAATCACTCATGGGCGAAAACCTTGGCTAATTATCGAAAATCGTTGTCCCATACTGATCATAAACTCACATGAGAATGTAACCTCTTGGTAACGCCTATATTTCACCTCTTCACAATATTCATCGCATTCGAACCCGCTCCCGCTCTGGTTAGATTCTATTTTCCACTGATAAATACTATTTTCTCTGGGCAGATTATGAAGGGACATTTTCAGTTGACCCTTCTTACATTATGTGTAACCATCAACGCACTCTTGCAGTGAGTCCTATTCTTCCCTCTAAATAGTGGTGGATTTGAATGAAACCCTCCCATCGTGAGTGCAGTAAGATCGCCTTACAAGCAAAAATCTATCGACGGATCGCCAAATTCTTGAAGCACAAGTACATACATCGAAAGGTACGTGTTCGCCTCGGACAACGCTACCAACGTGACCAATGCGGCAGACCTCAGCGTACCTCTCCTTTACTTCTCGAATGTAGGAAAACAACCACATAGATTTCCCTTAAACAAGTACCCAATACGCTGAGTATAAAGATGGCGTATTACGGCCTCGTTTTCGCCTGAACTCTTGCTCAGCAGTTCCGAGAGCGATTCGACACCGGTTCGGCAAACCCATTGCTTCCGTGCACGGGTTGCGATAGGAGTGGCCGAGCCTGTTAAGATCATTGTAAGATGGGGTACCGGCGTCAAAACGTGGTCTTCTTAGTTGTTCGGCTTTCATTTCCACTTCGACTGCCAACAATCGACCCTGCAACAAAACGAAAAATAGAATCAAAGTAGAATATCGGAGCGGCACTGTCAGAGCGTACATCCATTACAGTCCTTTACTGCCTTGTTAACGGAAGGAATGCAGGCTGCTTGCTTTTGCAATTTGGCTGCGGTTGCAGCTATCGCATCAACAGAACTCAGGGTTTCGGTTGTGCCACTTCAAAGACGGGAATTCCGCAGTAACTGAAACATGCTACTGAAGCTGGAATCATTCACAAAACTGTAATTTTAAACAGAAGTATTCGACGGTATCCTCGGTATGGCATGGAAGTCAAATGTAGCACGCGGCATCTTGCCACCTTTGGACCAGATCTTTGCCCATAAATTGATTCTTCCTTATCCACATCAACGTGCACCTCGAAAGCAGCGATCAAGAAAGTGGATAAGCTAGTTGAACCTATTAATGCCAAAGGAGGCTTGGTAAATAGGAAGTTATGAATCTTCTTTTTCACAGATAAAGAGTCGCTGCCATGTTCCGGATAGCAGTTTAATTGTTCATGGGCCATATTCAAAGTGTTCGCCTGCTTTCCAAACCTTGCGAGGAATTCGCCCAGAAGCCCTCCTTGCCTTCTACATGGGTCGCGGCAATAACGACCTGCTGCTGGGGAGTTGACTATTTGTGGAACAGACCCAGCACACTATCAGGTATAATGAAATTTCTATCCTTCCTATCCAAATATTAGAAATAGGATCCATTCAATGGGAGCAATCCCAGGGGTACCTCTGATAGCCGAAAGACTGTGACGGATCGAAATGGGTGCGGTATCATCAGAGGAACGACGTTGATTATATGTCGAAAACAACCCATTTTTGACAGTAGCAGTTTCATTATCACTGCTTCACTGAGCGTTGTACAACAGGTGATTCCCAGCGATGCAGAATGAAGCTCCTCCTTCTACTTGCCCGTTTATTTGATTCTCACCATCAGATTCAAAGTCTTGCCGGAACAAAAGAAAGTGCACAAGGTACATACGGAAGTGAATCGAAATTTGCAGTAATACCTCAAGTCTACCAGGAGTTATCTTCACCCCGGGGGTCAAAACTTCATTCACCAAAGTACGTTGCCAAGTATTAACCAAATGTAGCGTAGGAGCGGGACCCAATGGTCATAGGCAAGGAATGAATTTAAATGGAACGGTACCAACCAACAAAGTAAGTTTCAAGTGAACCAGACGCGGTGCTTGGTTTCTTTGGGCTCAATCTTCCGCTTCCGATTGGCCGTCGCGAATCGTTAGAGCTCTTCTTGAGTCTAGCGCAGTTTCCTTCCAACCTGAGCTTTCCTTGAGAAAAGTGATGAAGGAAAAAATGTGCTGAAATGAGGTTTTTAATAATGACAGACAGGAACATTTCAGGAGAAGAAAATCGTGCACAAAAAGACAAGTGGATACTGAACATTAGGTAACTTTATAACGTACAGTAATCATTTCCTCGAAAGTACGTCTGGGATTGAGCGTTCGTTACCCTACTACACACATTTTGTTAGGATTATTTTTGATGGGGCAGAAATAAAGCAGTGCCTGTGATATTTTCAAGACTTCGAAAAGGGGCAGATCTACACAAAAACCAAAGACCGTCGAATCGCCAAGCCGGGCAAGATTTCTGCCGAAGTGGCACGTCATCAACAAATTCGTCAGCAAAAAATACAAAACTAAAAAACTTTGTGGACTCTCTTTTTCGCTTTTCAAATTGAAGAAGATGGCAGATCCAGCGACGGGTACTCCTTTCTCCGAAGTTATGCTAGTGTTGAGTCTCCTCAGGCCTTGGAGACTCGTCGAGTTACAAAAAATTGTAGATATCCAATTATGTTTAACTTAAGTTTAACTAAGATGTTCTAAGACGAATAATGGGAGTGATACTTCACAATAGCGCAAAAGTGGCGAAAAAACGCAAAAATAGGTGCGTCCAGAAAAATGTAAGACTTTAAAACAGTAGCAAAATTAGGGGTTGAACGAGAACGTGACGACAAAAGTCGCATGCAAGGGGTAATTGGACGAGCTGTTCAAACGATTGCCTTTACACACAGCGGGCTACAGTAAACTGCATGCGCGAGTCTCGGTGCGAACGCTACTAAGCCGGTTTTGGAGTTCTTGTTACGCTAAACCTAAGCCGTTTTCGACCAGACAAGGACCCTTGTGCTATCTATGGGAACCACATGTTCGTCGCGGAAAGAAATCCCAAAAACCATTTTTGCCGTGATTTTTGCCGTTAATGTGTTTAAGGATACCATTTACCGCGTGCTAAAAACTTCAACTTTATCATCGAGCTGAAAATGAAAAGAGACCATATTTGACATGACTGTAGAAACCAGTAGTTTTCTTCAAAAAATACGCTAGCATTGTATGAAACAAGGTTAACTCTGCCTGTAGCGGTTTAGCATTTCACGTGCATTCCCCTCTTTTTTTGGATTGTGTTTTGTGATGAGTAAAAGTTTAATTTAAAGAGCGCATAAATCTCGATACAAGTTTTCCTTAGTTTTGCTCACAAAAAATCCTTTCCTGCGGATTTTGATGGATTTTCTTGGACAACTTGGCCAACTTATAGTTATGCGAGCGTATGTATATCAATGGGAAGAGGTTTTTATGACCAAATCTCTACGACAGGTGCCAGCTTTTCCGCGAGCACTACCGTGACCTCACTTGAAAATCAAAACTCGTCCTCCACAGCGCGAGTCACTTCTCGTGATTGGGTGCAGCACAAGCGCGACTCGCCATTCACGTGGAAGATGCCCTTCTGCTGATGGTCGCAGCTATACTGTAGTGGGCGTAGTCTGCGGTACGCCATTCACAATAGTTTTTGCAACTTCGGGTCAAGGTGCGAACCTGGTTTGCCCATTGAGATTCTGCATAATACAATATGAGCATGTTTTGTGAAATTCTTTGTTATACTTGTAGATAGTAAGGTCATCTCCACCTGAATAATTGATGGAGTGTGGTAAATGTTAAACGTTTTTCTTAGGTTTTGTTGCTCTGGAAATGTAAAAAAATAGAGTAAATAAAGTAATACAAAAACACTAGCGCCAGAAAGGTAAGCTGCATTAAAATAATTTAGTGTAAATAGAAAACTATGAGTTGACTGGAGCTCTATTTTTCGATCTACCGATATAAACAAATGGTTTTTGAAAACATCCCTAGAGACCTTTGTGAAGGCCATGTTGTGAGGGTCACAAACTTTCATTAATTGAGATTTGCTGCTTTGCATAGTTAAAAAATAGTACAGATTAGGCAATTATGCTTTATTATGAAGTATACCAGTGAATGAGCGTGTCTTCTACTGGAAAGATACGCTATGTACCGTATTCATACTTTCATTCCGTCAGCTCGATCAAAAATTTTTTTAATGATTTAATTCCTTGCAACTCCCAAGTGTAGTGTTGTCCTTGATCAGTCAGATGACTCTTTTGATAGGGCTACAAAATACAAAAGAATAATAAATAAAAGATTCTAGAGAAGAAAAGGCTCGCTTTTGTTATGGTTGACAATGCGCCAACCGTCTCCTCTTCCAATTGTTCTCACTTTGCAATATTCTAAATATTGATGTTTTTATTGATTCGTAGGAGGAATGCGCAAGGCAGTATTCGACACATTGGCTGAGCCATAAAAATGAATGTGTCTTCAAACCCAAAGCCCAAGTTAAGGATAAAAGGATAAAGTTTTTGGCGTTAATCAATCCCATCTGAGGGAACAAAAATCAATCCCATCCGCACTCGACTTCCATTCAGAATCGTAGTGGCGTAATGAGTGCGTATGTGGCCTATACAATGACTTGCGGTGGCCAGCCGATGTACAAGCCAGTGCTTTTATCCTCCCAGACGAGTTTGGTACCAATTTACCGACCCCGGGGGGATGGAGGGCTTGGTTGGCCTAGGCGGGCACCGATCCGGGATTCGAACCCCTGATCGTGCGTGTGATATAGTGCGCCACTTGCCACTACACCGCCTCCGCCCAAAGCCCACGTATTTACACGAAAAACGGTCAGGACACGAACGATGGTTGTTTCCTATGTCCAGAAGAGAGACATGAACTCTTTCCGACTTTGAATTCTTTTTCAATTTTAATGAAAAACTTTTTTGTAGTTGAGTTCTCATGCGTTAGTAAGCTCTGCCCCTCAGCACCTGACATTGTGATAGGTGATTTACTCCTTCGTCTCGAACTCATTTTCACCTTCGTTTCAGTCAAAAGCACTGCGTCAACATGAACTTTGAGGAACAAATCATAATCATTCTGAGGTTCACAGCTTAAGTAAAATAATGGAGGCAATGGTGCAGAATAGTGAAGAAGTGCAAAGAAATCGTGAAAATCGGGCGGGACAATATGGCTTCTAAAAGGCAGTATAAATAAGGATTGTACGAGACTATGACGACCGAAGTTGCATGAAAGGAATATTTGAACGAGATATTAGCCCTGTGTCATCGCGTAATAATCTGGCTACACTAGGCAGAAATAGCAAAGATTGCCTTACACTGTTGCCATGGGTCACAAAGAGAAGTTTTAAATTTTTAATTTGTTTGCTTCATTGTGAACGATGAATCTTCTTCAAGTTTTCCGTAAAACACGACCACTTCTTAGTGAGGACATGGGCCGAGCCGTGATTTAAGTTCCGTGCCCTGTCTGCTGACCCGAAAGCGTCGCAATATGGCATCCTTGAAGGCCACGAACCAATCAGAAAGTTTTCTAATCAGAAATTTTGGATGCCAATTTAATCGTGAATTGCGCCTTTAAGAGTTTCGAGCCCTATCAATGTGAGGTAAAGAACAGTAATGCTAATATTCTTGTACCTTGCGAGGTACTCCGGTTAAACCATTATTTCCTCAATAGCATGCAATGGTACGCACCATCAGAGATTAGGGTACGAAGGGTCATAAGGGAAGCATCAGCAGCACTTCAGTCTGCAGTGCCATGTGTGTGCCGAACCACGTTTTTCAAATTTTATACCAAGTTCCTAATAACGCGCTACTTCTCTCCCCCCAAGTCTGTTTTACTCTGTTTCGCCCAAATGCAATCAGCTAAAGTTCTAAAACACCTATATGTATTATCAAATACAGTCCAACATGGCAAAGCTATTTCACAATAGTCAACTTGGACCAAAAAAGCGCTGTTTTTCGGCAATATACAATAGAAATTTAATCATGTGGTAAAGCTGAAAAGCAGACAATGGCATCGGTAGCTGAGCTTGCCGTATAAAAGCTTCTGGAGTTCAATGTAGCCATCAGTTCTACGGAAATCTCCCATGCTGATTTGGTTCTCATTAGAATTTACTTTTCCTTATTTCGACCATTTCACTCGACCACAAGGAATCAGCAACCATCTCCTTTGAATGTATCGACGGTGAACAACTCCTCACCACATTTTTGCATCCGTCACAGTTTCTATCGAACCACCCTAGGAGCACCCCGAATTAGTGAACCTTCTCTCTCTTCGGAAAATGTTCCAATATGGTTTCACTGCCACATTGACAGTGCAATGCTGCCAAGGATTCTGCACGTCGCCATGGATTGATTAAGCTGTGTTAAATGTTTAGAGAAAAGCTTTTGACAACGATCATACCGTAGCGGATATACCCGGCGTACATTATTTTGTGACAAATTACTGCAGATTCACTAAAAAGCATGAAGTATACACCTGAGCAGGGGCGGGTCTTACTGCACACATCCCGGAAACAGTTTAGTTGTTTTACTTGATTATGTTTCCTAGTATGACTCAATACATCTCGGACTCTGGGAATTGCGGAGTGCTACGGCTTTTATTAGAAGACCATCCAGTAAAAAACTACTGCATAATTCTATCAAATTCCATGAAAAGCAAGCTTGCTGTAACGATTTCACGAGTTATACAGCAATTAGTCAAACTCGGTCATGATTTGGGATCGATAATTGAGAAATCAAAACACAATGCTTTGTTGAAAAAAAAAAGAACTCGCTGTCTGGACAACATCGTCGCAGGAGAGGTTACAAAGAAAAACCCGTTCCGCAATTCCATCTCATCATTTCTCCTTTTACTTCTTTTGAAGAACTGAAAACATGGGATCCCTTTCTAAATTCACTTGTGAGCAGAAACTTCGTTGATTCAAAAAACTGTTACCCTAAAGTACTAAGGCACCCACATGAAAAATGTAACCTCTTGGCAGCGCTATTAATTCGCCTCGCTACGTTATTCTCCGCACTCGAACCGGCCTCCGCTGCGACAGGTCTTGTTTCTTACTAAAAAATACTATTTTCCTTGAGCAGATATGAAAGAACACTTTCTGTTCGTCCTACTTGCGTTACACGCAACCATCAACGCACTCTTGCGGTAATTATTAATTTCAACACGATTTATGACGAATTGTGTGAAACTCTCCCATTAAGTGTGCCCGCGTCAAAATCGCCCTATAGGCAAAAAGCTATTGATGGAAACGCGATTGTCAAATTCCTCAAGCAAAAGTACCTTAAAGGCTACGCGTTGCTTCGAAAAGGGCTACTAATGCGACCAATTAGCGACAAGCCTCAGCGTACCTCTCCCCTACACTTCTAATGTAAGAGACATTCACAGAAATTGTCTTTGAACAACTACCCGACACACGTAGTTTACGTTGTCGTACTACGGACTCATCTATTAAATATCGGAACTCTTGAACAGCAGTTCCGAGTGCAGTTCGACAGCGATTCGGCAAATCTGTGGGTTCCTGCATGGGTTGTGATACGAGTGACGAAGCCTGTCAAAATCATTGTAAGGTGGAGTAGCGGCGGCAGAATATGGTTTATTACCAGTACCTACACTTTCATTTGTAGTTCAACTGCCAACGATCGGCAACCTGCAACGGAACGAGGGACGAACTCTAGGTTCAATATGGAAGTGGCACTATCACGGCGTACATAGATTACGACATTGTTTGCGTGAGTTTTTTGCTTTCTGGTCAGCGGCAGGCATCCCGAGAAATATGCCTCACTTTTGCAGTTTGGCTGCGGCTGCAGCTATTGCACGAACAGAACTCAAGGTTCCGGCTGTGCCATTTCGGAGACCGATGAATTCGCGGTAAGGCAAGCAGCTTCCGGAGCTAGTCGATGGAATCGTGCGCAATTCTGATATTTCAGACAGAAGTGTTCGACGGTATTCTCGGTCTGGCATGGAAGTCAGATGCTTCAGGCAATATTTCACCACCTCTAGATCAGATCTTTGCTGATAAGGTAACTTTCTTCAATATACATCACGAAAGCAGCGATCAGGAAAAAGGATGGAAACCAGTTCAACCTATAGATGCTAAAGGAAGCTTGATGAATGGGTAACTGTGAAATTTTCTCTTACACAAATGAAAAGCCGTTGTTATGTTCCAGAAAGTAGCCTAAGTATTCATGTGCGTGCTGTAATCGAAGTGATCGTCTTTTCTCTGAACATTGCAGAAAATGTGCCCGGAAGCCCTCTTTGCTTTCTACATGGGTCGCGCCAACAATGGTCCGGGTGTTGCTGGAGAGGTGACTATCTGTGGCACAGACCCAGCGCATTATAAGGTATTAATGAATTCCCATCCTTCTCAACCAAATATTAGAAATTGGATCTAACCAAAGGGAACAATCGCTTGGTTGCTTCTGATAGCCGAAAGATTGCGGCGGATCGAATAGGGTCCAGTGTACAGCAGAGGAACGATGTTGACTACAGGCCCACAACAAGCCATTGTTGAAACTGGCATTCCATTATTACTGCCCCAATGAGTGTTGTACAACAGGTAATTACCAGTGATGCAGATTTGAGCTTATGCTTTGACTTGTTCTTTTATTTGATTCTCAGATCCAAAGTCTCGCCGGAGCAACAGTAAATGCCCAAGGCGCATACGAAATTGAATGCAACACTACCTCGAGCCTGCCAGCACTTATTTTCACCCTCGGTGATCAAGACTTCACTCTTCAAGGTTCCGAATACATTGTCCAGGTATTCACCAAATATAACGTACAAGCGCGACCCAGTTAACAATGGCAAGAACTCGAGTGAATCGATGAAAAGGCTCCAATCTGCAGTGTGATTTTTCAGGTGAACCAGACATGTGTGCTCGGTCTCTTGGGACTCGATCTTCCACCTCCAATTGGTATGCCCCTAAAGACCGAATTCCACCCCATTTGCGGGTGAATATTAGTATTCAGGTCCCAACTGGATTCTTGGTGACGTCTTCCTCCGTAACTTCTACACTGTCTTCGACCATGGAAACAAGCGTGTCGGATTTGCTCAGTCTGCGAAGGAATGCGTCAATTCCACATCAAATTCATAATGATATTCAACAAATCTTGTGGCAATGCCACAATTTCCTCAGAATAAATTGAAGATAATATTGGTTATCCCAAAACACCGTGGTTCCCACTCTTTATAGACCTATGAGGTAAGAAATCAAGGGCAGAAAGACATCGCTCCTTTCAGCCACTTTTGGGGCTGAAAACTTCATAAAAAGATGAAGACAGGAGAGATGTCCTCGTCAACAGCACCTGGCCATGAACATCGGTTCGTAGAATATCCGACAATTTGTCTGTTATCGGAAAGGCGTGGCTGAACCCTAGTCTAACAGATTTCGTTACTTATACACCGATACGAAAGTAAGACGAAGAGAAGTTTAGAGGGTTCCGTGTGTGGAACTGGAGAAGGTCCACAGAAAAACCATAACTTGTCCGAGATTTTCGGCGAGTTCAACACCAAGCTTAGGAAGACCTCTTGGAAAACAGGAGAATCTCACATCTCTCAAAAACGAAGTTTAACATCTCGGTTGAGAGATGTATGCTTGTGCAGGTCTGATTAGAATTTCGATATTCGAAGACGTGTGGACCTTCTCCAATAGTACTCCTTCAGAGGAATTGCCCATGATAAAGTGGACTTTCTGCTAGCAGGCAAGCTGAGCGCTCAGCTTTCTGTGTGGTCCATGCACAAAGTGTCCATCGAAGGATCATTCGAAAAATTAGCAAAATTACTTCAGCCCTTCGAAACTGTTCCCCTTACGTTGGTAACGTTGACAGTGTGTAGCATATATTGTCGATTTAAGTGTCCTCCTCTTTAAGTGCGTCATTTTCAGTGTTGCCGCCCTTCAAGTGTACCTCACCCTGGTCAGAGTTTTCAGTCACACGGCATGCATAAAATCTTAAACCAGTGTCGCTTGCAGTGGTCAATTTGAAAAAAAAAGTGAATCTCCGCAATAAAGGTTAACTAAAAAGCTACAAAAAGTAAAAGAACTTAGTGAGGGAAGCGCGGCATTCCACGGGAAGTTGCAAACTACGTCCTTTCCATAGTGCGCTAAATTCTGCTGACTGCATGCTCATCCTGGTATCGTCGAGTGCAATCCTCCGATACGCATGTCAAAGCAGAAGGATCGCAATGTTAAAAGCACCCGAATTTTCTTCGTCTTTTTCAACTCTTGCTTGATGTTATTTAATGCTCTTATAATACTTCGCTCACTGATTCAGCCCAGCCTCCGGAGCTAAGAGGTCCTCCGACTTCTCGACCTAGCTACGCGCAATTAAAGCGTTCAGAGATACTCGTTCAGTTTAGCATAAATGGCGCATCAGAAACCTCACCGTATCTTATGAACACCATCTTCGCTGGGTTTATTCGTGGGCCATCTTCTTAGAAGCGTTGTCGAATTCGATGAGCATTAGCTCCACCTGCTTAATATTATAAGACCGATGTTATCTGCAAGGTAGAGATGATTCGGACCGTCGAGCTTCCTTCCCGTTCAAGTAACCCGTGATGTTTCCGAGAGCGGCACCGAAATGTTTGGGTGAGAAGGTATAGCACTCTCCTCACGCTCACGAAGACTCCTTCAGAGAGTGGTGAAAATCTAGTCATGAAGTTGTAGTAAAGTTCATGTATGTATATAGGAACATTCTCATATATTGAGTAGGAACGCCATGGATATTCAAGGCTTCACTTGCCACTTCAGGCTCGACACTATCGAAGCTGTCTTAAAGTCCATGGTATGAAGTTAATAATAATAGCATCCTCTAAACTCGCGATACTTGAATGAGTTTGTGACAGCGTGGATGTGATCGGTTCCATAGAACCTCCCATAACTCTGCTTGCTCCTTCATCTATTAGGTTGGCAAATAAGTCCTGCGACAAAATGGAGACATTTTTTAAGTCATTTCTAAATTTTTTCATATCAATCAATTTTCGAGGAAATTTTTGCCGAAGAAGTCAACAACCCTCTTTTATCCTTTGAGTCAATCACTGATGCCATCTCTTCAGGAATGAGGGAGCTGTGACTCGAAGAAGTAATTGACTGCCGTTTTTGGATCACATTAAGTTACGAATTTCTTTTCCACAACGGGATGCTCAAAAAGGCGGAGCACATTGTAGTTAAAAGGGGGAACACTCTGCGAGCACGACTGATGAGTAACCTGTAACCAAGCGGGATCGGTGAACTTTTGACGTGGGTCTGAAGCGAATTTTAGACGTACGATGTCCCTCTGCAAAGACCTGATTCACGGCTTGTAGTTAAAAGGGGGAACACTCTGCGAGCACGACTGATGAGTAACCTGTAACCAAGCGGGATCGGTGAACTTTTGACGTGGGTCTGAAGCGAATTTTAGACGTACGATGTCCCTCTGCAAAGACCTGATTCACGGCTTGATCGTCCTTCTCNATGGAGACATTTTTTAAGTCATTTCTAAATTTTTTCATATCAATCAATTTTCGAGGAAATTTTTGCCGAAGAAGTCAACAACCCTCTTTTATCCTTTGAGTCAATCACTGATGCCATCTCTTCAGGAATGAGGGAGCTGTGACTCGAAGAAGTAATTGACTGCCGTTTTTGGATCACATTAAGTTACGAATTTCTTTTCCACAACGGGATGCTCAAAAAGGCGGAGCACATTGTAGTTAAAAGGGGGAACACTCTGCGAGCACGACTGATGAGTAACCTGTAACCAAGCGGGATCGGTGAACTTTTGACGTGGGTCTGAAGCGAATTTTAGACGTACGATGTCCCTCTGCAAAGACCTGATTCACGGCTTGATCGTCCTTCTCTAACCCGTTGGTTAAAGGGGATCATAGGGGCAAGCGATAGCAGTGACAATATAGTCCGCTTTAAGCAACTCATAGTGGATGGACTCCTTCAACCTCCATTAAAATAAGGGATGATGATGCGTGCGTTACTCCGAAGGCTAGTATCTCCTGCAGTGAAGCGAGCAAACTGATTGTTGACCGTCGATCGGTTAGCAGTGCCAGCATTGAATAGATTGCTGATATTTCGAGCCGCTACACTCACGTTTTTTCCTTGGCGTGCTTAGGAGAATGTGATTTTACAAACCGGGTGTTGTCCATTTATTGACCGTAATGCTGCGAAAGCCCACAGGCGTGCCCTTATTTACTCATGTGTTGATTGCCTGAGGAATGTCCTACAAGTCCATCACCCTTGCTACCGTGTTCACACTGTTGATAGAAATTTTCAACGCCTCAAATTTTTTGTCGCAGGATTTATTTGCCAACCTAATAATATTGTGTCAAACTTGATGAGGGTGAAAGGGGGCCATGCAAAAAGTCGAAGATCAAAGAAAGCAGACAGATTGGGCGACAATTGGGCAGTTACCGTCTGAACCTATTTTGCATGCCGGCTGATGCTGTGTGAATGGCCGAGCTAGCGTTTTGACGATAACTGCTGGAAGGCTTTTCAGATCACGGTCAACTGTTCATCTCTGTGATGTCGAACTTTGAAAGGAGCAATTAAAGGAAAGACATACCCAAATTGTCTGCTATGATAGGTAGGCAGATAGACGTGATTGTCGAAGCAATTGTAGTAGAAGTTGTGCATGAGTTTCTTCATTACCCTTCAAAATGCATCAGATATTCCGTATTCCTTTACCGCTTCTCTGCACTGCTTCGCAAGTTTCGACGTTAGTGTTTGCATGGGGCTGGGTGGGATATTAGTTAGAGACTTTTGGATGTGAGGGTTGCCCTGGATGTTGCGGGTCGACATGATGAACTCGGGCAGATTATCATGCTATTACCATACCAATCCGTGAATTCCGATGCGGAGCTCTCCAACCGTTCCTTTCACTCCACGATGATTGTCAGAGCAAGGGTCGAGCTACATTTACTCAATCGCAAAGTTCCGATTCAGGTTGTTAAGCTTTCGTCTGAGACGATATTCATGGCCAAGTTCGTGTTGACGAGGTCATCTACACAATTGACGCCCTTGCTCCGCACGTTCCACGGAAGAGTTGTTCTCCAGCTTCGGAAATTGCATGCAACGAACGGTGCTCGTCTCGGTCAGTCCGATGACGTCGAACTTGATCTTCCTGTCTTGCATCATCAGATCTTCGGTACACGCTCCCGATGCAAGCGTTCGTGTACTGAAGGAGCAGATTGCATCTTATTTTGTCTCCTTTCGAGTACTTCGTTTTTGGAAGCCTCCCCAAAGCGGCCAAAATGCGCCACAAAAGCATACGAAAAGGTTGTCTGCACCGTTGGAGATCATCCTTCACGATGATGATACCTTTCTTGTAGGATTAAGCAGTGCTCCAGGCCAAGCTGCGGAAGTTGCAGAAGATGTTAACGGAGAATGGACTCAGGCCGCATATGGAGAAATTAAGTCCCTCAGGTTGTAGGGAAGCATAAACAGGGCCCATCATCTGACCTTCGGTGAGCGGGTCTGCGTGGATCAGACTGTAAATTCCTGGATGAAGTACACTGGCATTCTGTATGATATGTATGTGCTGAATAAACTCTAAGAAAATGTTTTTACAGCCGTTTGAGGCCTGCGATGCTCTATGGCAGTGAGGCCGGAGACTTTAGGATCAGAAGAGAGGACAGTATGTCTGTACAAATAGCTTTTGTCCAGCTGGCCATGATAATGCAGCGCCTGCGGTGGCAAGAGCACGCACTGAGAGGGCTACCGCATCACCCGATGAGAACAGCAGTGAAATCTAAAGATCGGGAAAGGGGTAGAGCCCTAAAGAAGAGGTTGCGGGACGTTTTCGAAGTTCCTATCAAAACCTTACCTAGGGCAGTAAATGTGGCAAGCAGAAAGAATTGGAGGCGACTACCAAGAACAGCGGATCATGCAACGGTGTGCGATTTGCGCGAGTAAGGAGAAGAAGGTGAGTTTAGTAAAAATAGCCGCCTCCAGTAGCGTAGAGGGTTTGTATCGCCTGAGCTGGAATCGATAGGCACTTATCCCTTAGACCAGTCGGGCCGCCTGGCTTCCCTCCTTCTTTGACAAAGTTGTAGTTATGGGCTAACTCTCCACCCCTTCTTCGAAGCAAATAATATTTTCCTGTACACGAAGTTTGACACAGGACTAACAGGGTATTGGGGTTCAGTGGAAGTCGGTTTTTATGTCTTGAATTGGGAGTCTCGATCTTTTGCTCTTGTTCTTGAAGATAAATACCCAATAAAGATTGAACTGTTAGGTAACCAAAGCCTTGGGCGGTACTTACAAATATTTCGTGTAATGATAACTCCATTATCAGATGTTATCAATGAACCTTTTACTTCACAGAGATAACATTAGTTCAGAGCTCCCATCAAGCCACAAACTTTGCTGTGTAGCGGTCTTAATCTAATAGCAAGAGATGAACAAAATTCCAATCTGCTTATCGCAATGTCGCATATGGGTCCCTAAAACTGCACTTACCACTCCTTTTGTCACCCTACTCTACCATCTCATCTTATCGAATGAAACATACTGAACAGCCAAAGCTACCTCATAAATACCGAAGGCGTTAGGATTTCGATCGGCAGGTGCACTTGCTCTATTNAGATAACATTAGTTCAGAGCTCCCATCAAGCCACAAACTTTGCTGTGTAGCGGTCTTAATCTAATAGCAAGAGATGAACAAAATTCCAATCTGCTTATCGCAATGTCGCATATGGGTCCCTAAAACTGCACTTACCACTCCTTTTGTCACCCTACTCTACCATCTCATCTTATCGAATGAAACATACTGAACAGCCAAAGCTACCTCATAAATACCGAAGGCGTTAGGATTTCGATCGGCAGGTGCACTTGCTCTATTAGGCCCTTTATCTTCTTTTATCTTATTATCGTTTCTTGTCATCGAGTACCTAGGACCCCGTCATATCCTATACCACTTATTCAAAGGCGAGGTTCTACTGTTAATACGAAAAGCTGTAATCTTACCATATTTGAACTCTCTAGGTCCGCAGAAACAGAACTTACGAATTTCCGCTTAAATGTTTACTCTGCACAAACCCCGCCCCTTGTAGGCTGAGTCTGCTCCTGTCACCTGCCATGAGTGTTCTCATCCTTGTCCCCGTATTCCTACCGAATTTAAACTCTCTAGGTCCAAGTGAACAGGAGTTACGAACTTGCAACCTAAAATTTCTATCGCGCACACACCGCCCCCTTGTGGGCGAAGTCCGGTCGTGCCACCCACCATAAGTGTTCCCATCCTGCCTCCTGTATTCCCAACAATTTTCAACGCTCTGGGTCCACGGGAACAGGAGTAATGAATTTCCGGTCAAACGCACACACCGACACACACACGCCGACACACCAACAGACACACTTGGCGAATTATATAAAGTAGGATAAGGCACCGCCAGCAGCTTCATGTACCACTCGAGGAGTATCATGGAATCACCATTCTCACCTGATCACTTCATGGCTCTGAGTTCCAGGATACAGATAGTCTCAAAATTGAACGGACGAAGAAAATGCGTCTGAAACATTATTCGCGAATATAGAAACATTTCAATACCAGAATTATGGAACAATGACCTGATAGAACTTTCCGTAATGAAACAGATAACATCTTTTCTAGACCGAAAACTTCGCACGATTGCCGTCGCGTTGTTCTGCACATCTATACGGGATCAAATCATCATGTGTTCCTCGATTCTGTGATATCAATGTGTGAAGAGAAATTTGCACAGCTTAAGGAACGAGGTTCCGAAAGCGTTCAAGATCTTTTCGTTTTCCTTGCGAGTTCATGATAAGATCCTGTCATCGACACTATCGATGAAAAGTATATGCGACTCATCGGACATATTCACGATAGCTCTAGCAATACGGAGAGTTTACGACTTGCCAAGACTCTTCAGAAACTCTTGAGCTGATACGCTAGCTGGAATCGGGTGGACTACAAGCAGTCATCATCAAACGTCCGAACCTGCGAAGCCATGCGGAGAAGCTATAAATGAAGGTTTAAAAAAAGAAAGGAAACCGGCAGTTGCAGATGAAGCCGCCGAGGCTGGGTAGAGCATCCGCAAAGCTCGTCGGAGCGCCAACAACTACAAGGCCAAGATGACCTCCCGTCGTCGCCCAGACGGAACAGTTACTGCATCTCGAAGGGCAATGGAGATGTTTATTTAATTCTTGTCCAATCCCTTCGACAGCTACGTCTATTTGCATACCAACCATCTTAGGCAAGACGGATATGTCGTTCTTTCAGAGTCGGAATTCGACATGCCATCCAGTAGACAGTGTCGTTGTGTTCGGACTTGCGACGTAGTGCTTCGTGTCTTCGGTTGAATTACGTTTCCATTTTGACGCCTCGCTGTCCATCAGCGACGTTTTCTTGAGGTAGCATCAGGCTGAGATCGGTTCTCAGTCGAAGTCCCAGGAAGGCTTCGGCAGGTGCGCGTTAATCTGGTGCAGATGGGCGTGGAGTGGAGCAATATGCCATCAGAAACGTCTGTAGAGCATCAATTATCGGGTCTTCCCCTTCAGTTTGTTGAGTCCGCGTTTGAAGGTATCCACAAAGCGTTCAGCCTGTCTGTTGCTCTGTGGATGGAACGGCGGTGTGCGGATGTGCGTGATTCCTCGGGAATGGCAGAACAGAGCGAACTGCGAGATGTAAACTGCGTCCCGTTGTCAGTGACAAGAGTCGTAGGGTTCCCGAACCTTGCGAAAATGTCCTTCAACACTTGGATAGTAGACGTAGAAGGTGTCGATGACATCTGGACGATTTCAAGCCATTTGGAATATGCACCCACAAGTATCAGGTAGAATCGTCATTCATGGGTCCTGCAAAGTCAGCGTGCACACGGATCCATGGAGAGGTTGGTTTTGGCCAGAATTATAGCTCGCCTTTGACGGGATTCTTCGTCACTGAAACGCATTTGCTACACTTCCTGACAAGTTGTTCGATGACGGTATCCAGTGTTGGCCAGTAGACGTAGCCTCGTACTTCATCCTTGTCTGTCCCGGATGAGCCTTGTGTAGTGTCGTACATAAGTTCGCGGCGTTGTAGTGATCCTGGTATCACTATGCGAGCTGCGGTAAGTAGACAACCGTCGACAGTGGTCAGAGTATTTGTCGGTTGTAGTAGTGCCAGAAAGGAGAGTTGCGATTGACCGTGGGCCAATATCCAGACTTGATGTAGTCGATGATCTTCTTTATGACATGATCAGCTCTTGTAGCAATCCAGTATAGTCGCGAAGATTCTCACCATTGCGTTGGGTCTCCAGATATACGTAGCGGCGCGAGAAAACCGACGTGTTGTGTCCGAAAAGTTCCTTCAGTGTTGCTACGGTATCTGACAGCGATAGTTCACAAGCTCTTTTCGGTAGAGTTCGGCTTGTGAAGCGAGCGTATGTGATGGCGTCGAGCTTGGAGACGATCAGTCGGGCTTTTGCAGCTTCATCCAAGGCAGCGCCGTCCTTGGGAATGACGTATTGATAGCGATTGTACCAGACTTCGAAGGTACAACCATTGTTGGGATCGCATACAAATTAAGGTAGACGCGTTGACAGCGAGCCCATCGCGAATTCAGGTGCGTTGACTGAAGACGCTGGAGCGCTCGTACGTGAGCCAGACACCATTCGTTCCATGTGGTTGACGAGTTCAGTGAACATCTTATGCTGTTTGGTGAACATCTACATCTGCATCTCCTACTGCATCCTAGCCTGGGCATCTAGGATGACCTGCAAAGTTTTCACGTCCATTTTAATGAGTGACTGACCTCCCCGTCGGCTTGATTGCTGCTGCACTGGTCGTTCTCGTTGTTAGCGTTGAAGTTTCTTAACTGGTCGTTCTCGTTGTTCGCATTGAAGTTCACTGATCGCATATTGTTGTAGGTGGCCGCCAGCTGTTGCAGATGAGCTTCTTGTAGACAGTCGAGGAACACCAGTAGATACGTAGGTCTACTGGAGTAGAACCGGACACGAGCGAATGAAGCATTAGAATGAATTAGAAAAAAACCCCTGGGTATTGTTCTAACAGAGCTACGTACAATGCGCCGGTTTGCAAAGTCTGTGATAACATGTACAATTGATAAGCTCAATAATACCCTACAACAAGTTTCGCACTCTCACTCAGCTAAACAACGGATGCAAACGTCAAAGGAAGGGAAGGAATTTGTTCAATTCAACATTTCTCGGGATAGTGGGTTTGCCACCAGGAGGAGAAGAGTCCGGCGTTACCTGAGCGATCCGACTGGTCTGGATCACATACTCCTACACGTCAAGGCCATTTCGCAATAGCCATGTCAATGCGAAAAACTCTAATCCCTGCAAGAGACGGGAACTAATCAGACCACCGAATATAATGGACACAATAACATTTATTATTCTCGAGCATGTAGTATATAAAAGCTTCACGATGCCACTCAGGTCACCCTGCTTTTCAATCCTTGTCAGAGTCATAGTTTGATTCTCACTTCATCTTTGCGTCGATTACCTCAACCCTTCACTGAGATCAGAGTCAGCTAACATCTTCTTCTCTGTATGTCTTTCAAGGAGGTTCCATGAAACAGTATCCTGTTCACACTGAAGAAACGGAATCAGTCTCAACCTATCAACTGCCTTGTAGAACCCCTATGTCCACATCCTTTTGATAACTACATCAAAGACATGGAACTCTTGTTAGCACTCCCGCGAATGCGATTGATTCTAAACCTAATCACTGGCTCTCTACTTTTGGAAACAATCGAGCGGTGTGGTGTTCATTCATTCACTGACACCGCTTTTAAGACCACTCACTATACGTCACGTTGATATCCCATGAGAATTAGATGATTTTCCACAACGGAGAAAATACTCCCTTTAACCTATTATGTGTAGGTCAGAGATCGTTCACCAGTACGAACTTCTGCTGAAACTACAAAAAAAAAATTAAAAGTGATCCGTGGCTTCAAGCCTATTGGAAATTTGGCGTGGAATTTTACAATGGATCGTGATTATGAAAGAACGAATCCTGCTTACACTCCTTGCTACATCCCTTACCATCACAGCACTTTCGCGGTGAGTACAACAATTCTTACTTGTGTTTTGCGATTTGTAAAGCCCTTCGATTTAGTGTACCTCTGCTGAAATGGACCAACACGGAGACCCCGATCGATGGGAAGGCACTTGCTGAATTTTTGAAGCGTAAGTACATTAGAAGCAACGTACTCGCCTCGGACAGCGCTACAGGTTTCAATGAAATGCTCCTCTACTTATCATCGAGTGTAAGAAAGCACTAGTATGCAACTTCGCTTCATGTCTACTCAAATCGCTAAATATTAAGATAGCCTATTATGGTAATATCTATATTGGAACACCTCCTCAGCAGTTTCTGGTTAAATTCGACACTCGTTCCGCTAATCTCTGGGTGCCATGCTTGGGATGTTTAGCATTCTCACTAATTTCGGAAATGACTTATGATTGCTCAAAAGACGGTCATCAGGTGAGATGTGCTGTAGGTGTCAAGAAGTAATCAAGAAGTGTCCTCTTTTTTTGGTCCCATTCGCTCTTTGTTTCCAGTTTGATTGTCGTCTATCGACAACTTGCAATGCAACAACGAACTTGTTCGATGTTGAATATGGAAGCGACAATTCTGAAAACGATTACCGAGGAAATATTGACCCTGATACTGTTTGTGTGAGTCCTCCCTTCCTCCCTTCCTGTCTTATCATTCACGGAGTTTGCTTCATTTCTGCAGTTTGGATGTGGCTGTGGAAGCTACTGCACCAACAGAAGTCAAGGATTCGGTTGTGTTCTCTATGAGACCTTAGAGACCATAGAGGACTCAAGAATCACTTACTTGAATCGGGTTGCTTATTGACCCATTTCGTGCGACACAATATCAGCAAAATCTGTAGGACCATTTTCGGTCACCGCGTATAGATAACATTATCAAGCTTACTCGGAGGTCCAACTATCTGTATTTTCGGGTTAAACCTCATTACCAAAATTACATGTTTTCTTGTAGACGCTGTGCCCAGAAGCTCTTTTCGCGTTTTACATGGCCCCTAACAATAACGGATCAGGTGTTGCTGGTGAACTGACTATATGTATGTGAACTGACCATACTGATGGTGATACAAGGAATATAAGTTTGGTAGCTATGTTCTCAATAAAGCTAATGATGTACGTGACCTTGGGATCCTCGTAAATTCTGACCTTACTTTTGAACCACATATAAGGAATGTAGTTCTCAAGGCGTTCTCTGTACTCTTTGCAATTTGCAGAAATATACAGAGCAACGACTGCTCAATTTTACTTAAGTTGTACAAGGCCTATGTAATCCCCATCTTGGAGTACGGCTCACAGGTGTGGAGTCCGAGTACGCGTAAATATCAAAAGCAAATTGAAAAGGTGCAACAAACATTTACGAGAATTTTAGTGCATAGGAGTGCATCCAATTTCGGTAGCACTTCTATGCCAGGTTACAAAGAAAGATTAAAGAGCTTTGATTTGAAAAGCCTTCTTTGTAGGCGCGTTTTCAACGACCTAGTTTTCTGCTTTAAGCTTCTGAGAGGCGAGTTAAAGATCAAACCTAGCAAGTACTGGATCTTTAAACCTTGCAGAGGCCGTCACACTGAGCTTTCCCTCCAATATGCGAGGAATGGCAGGTACTACCAAGCTAAGGCCCACAACTTGCTTTTCTTCCGAGGTGCTAGATGGTTGCAGATGCTCCCACCTAGGATTCTGGAGGCTAGAAACATTTCAGTTTTTAAGAAAAGACTCAATCAAATAGATTTACTTTCTATTCTTGATATTGCAGATCTCTAGCTTCCTATTCCAGCGTTGGAAGTTTTTCCTAGTTTCTCGTCGTTCTGTCGTTCTGCAATGCATGGTGGTGATCGTGTTTCGTCAACAATACTGCTATCGCTTCTCGCGAATTTATGTTCGACTGATGCTTGCGAAGGAATGCTTCTCTATCTTTAAAGTATACTCACAGCGCATTATGGATCTGGATTCTCCCGACTGAGCCTCCGTGTCTCCATTTTTTTTNTTTTTTTTCCCTTTCTGGCTACTTTGTTTCATGAGCCTATCTTATTTCCTACGTTTCTCTAGCTTCTTTCCTACGTTCTTCTCTCCTACGTTTCTCTATAGTTTGCTTACATTTATTTTCGTTTTCCTTGTTTGATTTCATTTTCCATGTTTGATTTGTATCTTTTGTCTTTATTATTTCGTTGAACTTCCTTCTTAGTGCTCTTTATCTTGCAGTCCGTCGCCACTGTTGTTAAGTCTGCCTACCTCGCTGCTCCTAACTTGAAATGCCTGCTTAACCGTTCACTTCTTGCCATTTTGCCAGTAGCTTTCAAGTCGGTTCCACGAGGGAGGTTGGCGTACCCGTGTGCCGAAGTTCCGACTTGGGCCTATGACTCCTGAAGGAATGAGGGCACCATGGCCAACTGGTGCGGTTACTGGCTATAGGGCATCTTCTTCACACTCACTATCAGTGCAGCTTCTGGTTATTTGTACTCACAGGTATTCCTGTCCTCCCCTCTTCCTAGTCTCACATTGTACTGTGGCGGCGGGTGGCCTACTTGCTTCTGGCTGTGCGCACTCAGTGAGGTGCATGAATAAATAAATAAATAAATAAATGTGGAACAGATCCTGCGCATTATAAGGTACTGCTTACATTTTCAACTTTGAGTTCCGAGATGCCGATATTAAATTGGGATTTATTCATAGGGAACCATAGCGTGGGCGCCATTAATTGCCGAGACATATTGGACAATCAGTTTGGATTCGGTTTATGTCAGAGGTACGACGATAAATAATGGAACACAGAGCGCCATTGTTGACACAGGCTCATCATTCATTATTGGACCAACTGATGCTATAAAGAAGGTTACGTTTAGTGGTGCAAGACTGTGCTCTTGCCTCTATTTACTCTCTCAATTCCAGCTTCAAAATTTATTCTCTCTATCGGGGGCCGCAAATGTTGCAGAAGGTATCTATCATATCGAATGCAATAATATCTGAAAACTGCCAGCTGTCATAATCACACTTGGTGGTCACGACTTTGCCCTTCAAGGTTCCGATTATGTCATCCAGGTACTGACGAAATGTCGCGTCGAGACTTCAACTAATGTTTATCGACAGAGATCACGTGCCCCTGAATCGATAAAAAGGCATCAGTTTACGGTAATTTTTCAGAACAACAATACCTGCCAACTCGGCTTCGTGGGAGTCGATTATTCTTCTTCGCTTGGTACGTCCTCCTGGTAAATTTTTTAAAAAGCTTCAACATGACACCCTTTCAGGCTATACCTGGATTCTTGGCGACGTCTTCTTACGTAATTTCTACACCGTTTTCGATCACGGAAACAAGCGTGTTGGATTCGCTAAGCCCACTGAGAAATGCCTCAGTTCCAAATAAGACCAGCAAAGATATTTAATAAAATATTGCGCGAAAATCGAACGTTCAAAAACATCTGAGAAGCTCAATGTACTTGGCTTGTCGATCAATGGATTTCATTCGGAAACTGAGCAACATTTGACGGAATCATTAACAACTCATCCACCGTAGAGTGTTGTTATTCCTGTGTGTCAACATATAAATCACGAAATGATTACACTTATCTCTGTTTTCAGCGATAGAACTTTTGATTTCCCATGTTGTCATGCTGCGTCCGAGTGGTTTCGAGCGAACATCCGAACTTTGCAAAACTTCGTGTCCTGCTAGGATTAGGGGGAATGAAGGCTCAGTCACAGCTTTAGATAGAGTCTCGAATATCAGAACAACTGCAGTACTTCTTAGTTCAACTTCTGCGGAGATGCTTATTAACCCTAGCCAAATATTGCCCCTTACTTGAAGCATCTCCTCGATAGATCACTTCTCGACTGCTAGGAAAGAGATTCTGAGAGAAATAAATCTTCTTTGCTTTGTATTCCTTCTCTTCTGAGTATTTTTATATAAATGTAGCAATTAATTTCTAGAGCAATACGATGTGGGCTGTCAACCACGATTGCGATGCCTCTAATGGCAAGGTAGGTGGTTGGTAGAAGATTGTTCCCGAGAGTGACACCAATCCGGATAAATTCAGAAAAAGTTGAACGAGTGGCTCCCGAAAGTAGTTTTCTGAATTGAACTGTTGCACCATCCTCATACCTTAACATGTTATTTGTACCTATTGATTCGCTTGTACCGCGGTTTTTTGTGGAGTAAAAAAGCTGAGAAAGAAGTGCAAAAAAGAGAAAATGTTAGTTTTGCTTCTGCCTCGAGGTTAGGTGAAAATCTTTATTCTGGCCAACGTTTCGACGGACTCGTCGTTTTCAAAGGCCTGAAAATGGCTCAAAGCTTTTTTGATTGCACACAACCCCACCAAGCGCCTCTTCCGCTCCAGCGTTTCTGAGGTTCTATCAGGAATGCACGAAAAATGCCCAAAATCAAAAAGATAAGCTCACCTCACTTCCACCG